CTATTGTTTCAATGTAGAAATGATGTGAAGTCAACAAGGCAAACCGAGCCAAGTTGCAAGTTACCCACTTCATGGGTACAAAGTCATTTGTGGCGGCTTGATATGAAATGGTATATAATATTGTATGATTTCAAGTTTACTTAGTACAATATGATTGTTAACTTGATATTCTTTAATTCTAATTATAAATCATACATCGAAATAAAGAGACTAATGAGGAGCCTGATCGAATTTCGTTCTACAAAGACACTCATTATAATCCAGTGAAAGGGTGGTCATGCGATGAAGCTGAGTTGAAATATGTAAGATTGAGTAGTATATTATACTTCAATTTTTAGATTTTATACAAATTTTTGAGTTGTTGCACTAAACATTTAAAATTGCAGAATCATATGTTGGAGTTGCAATTCTAACCTATACTAGAGGGTGGCACAATGTTAAATCCATATCAGATATGCGACCTTGTGCTTGGAACAAGGTCGGGGTATATACGTGGTCTCGGGCATGGCTCAAAGCCCCACACATCTGCCAAATCAAGTCAAAGAGCTACTTTGGATACACAAGAGGCTATAAGGAGGGCAGACGAGGCCGAAAGAGTTCAGCATGAGCTGCTTGAGCAAGTAGAGGTTCAAAATCAAAAGATACAATCACATAATCAGATGATAGAGTCCCAGCAGACTCAAATTGAAGAAATGAGGATTCGACAGACCCAATTTGAAAATATGTTTCAGGCCTATATGTCTTCTGCAGGGGCATCTGGCTAGCCCTCCTACATCATGGTAAGCTATATATATTACGCATTTGCTTTCTTGCATATTAGAGAATTGTCATTGTTATAGAGGGTAAATTTTGTGTGTTAAAACTTATATTATACAAAATGGTTCCGCAATTTATCTGTTGAGACTTTTATTGTAAACATCGAATAAAATTCATTAGCTATAGCAAAATTGCAATATTTTTTTTCTTGTGACTTTTTCTTTGCTTTTATGTCATCTATACAAAATAAACCTCGTTTATGAGGTGTGTTTTACAAAAGTTACACTTATCGTCAATTGTTTATGGATGTTGAAAACATACTAACATCATTTTATTTTGTTCTTATGTGCAGATTAATGGCTGATGGTACGAGTTGTTTACAACGGATAGAACCACACTTGTGTCATTTTTATTTCTTTCTTTTTCATACTTATGTCTTTTATTCAATAGGAAAACACTTGTTTCATACACTTATTTTGTATTTACTTGGATGATATTTTTATTTGAGAAAAATTAATTTAAGTTCTTTGGTTTTGAGTTATTATATTAATTGTCATATATCATTTGGATGTGAATGACTAGATAATACATTATTGGTTTTGTTACACGACTCTTATCAGATTATTTCAAGAGTCAATATATATATATATATATATATATATATATATTGAAAGAGTTTGAGTGACGAAATGAGAATTTGTCTCTAATCTCAACTTCTACTGACAAACTTTTTTTCGTCATTGACAATCATACAATTAACGGCTCTATATTTTGTGACAAGCTCAATTTGACACTAAAGACCCAGAGTTGGTGATGAATTTAAAATTTGTCCCTTGAAATAGACCTCTAATGACGACAATATATTGTCATTAGAACATAACTTACAGTTACAAAATATCTTCATCACTACATTAGTACTTTCAGTGACGTTATTACTCTTTTAATGACANGTTGGTGATGAATTTAAAATTTGTCCCTTGAAATAGACCTCTAATGACGACAATATATTGTCACTAGAACATAACTTACAGTAACAAAATATCTTCATCACTACATTAGTACTTTCAGTGACGTTATTACTCTTTTAATGACACATTTTTTAGATCTTTTGTGACTATTTTATTTGTCATTAAATTTATTTTTTTTAGTGATGAGAGAGTGTTGTCACAACAAAGTATAGAATTAATGACGATTATTCTAGATTGTCTCTATAGACAATTACTGACAAGCTTCTAGTGACCACCTAGTGACGATAGAAATATCATCACTGAAACTCTTCAGTGACGAAATACACATTTATAGTGACAAAAAAATTTGTCACAAAAAATCTTAATTGTTGTAGTGGATTGATTTTGGTGAGTTGAAAAAAAAGCTAATCTATTTATTTTTTCATCCTTTATATATTTTTTAATATTTTATTTATTTCTTCAACTTTCTATCATTCTATTTTATCATCGTACCAAACGAAATATAAAATTTTTGTATACATTAATTTTATACTTTAGAGTGAACATAAATTGTACAAAGTGAGAGAAAGAATAAGTGAGATATAAAATTTAGAGGGCAAAATACAACAAAATGATGTAACCATATGATCAACGAGGTTCGTAACATAAATAAATGAAACAATAGAAATAATGTAATATAGCGCAAAATTACTGCAAATCGGGTAGTTGGAGGGCTTAATTGATACAAAATTGAGTGTAGGGGCAAAATTGACACAAAAATTATAGTTTAGGGGCCGTAGGTGTAATTTACTCAATATTAGAATTATGATAATGTAAGAGTTTGTTCAGCTACTCAAAAAATAATATTTTTTATTTTAACAACTCACTTTTTTAACACGCTCAAACATATTTTTTGTATTTTTAACTACTTAATTTAAATATTATTTCTAATTCTTTTTGTTATTTTTTTTTTTGGAATAGTGTGAGAGAAAAAGAGAGAATGAAAGAAAGGAAAAGAGAAGAGAAAAAATNTTTTTTTTTTCACTCATTTCCTCTTTTTGTTTTATATTTGGTTTGCCTGTAACAACCGGAGAATACTGAAACATTAAAACAATGACTTATAAATGAATAAGGCGTGGATCTCAAAAGAACTCTGGGTCATTTTAAAAGTTTGGATATATTAAATTCATCAACACTTTTGATAAGTCCCAGGATCTCTTACAAGATCCACACCTTATGCAACTAGAGGAAAATATATATGTTTTAGCCGGCCAATACGATGCCGTGGAATAAGGATCCCAGAACCCCCAATCAACCCACGTTGCGATTGGCAGCTTTAATTTCTTCCCATAGTAATGATATTGCATATTAGTAATTTAAATATCTATTTCATAAGTTCGTATAATAATAAAACCTTCTATTATGGTTGAAACTTGGATTAAAATATCACTTCTATTGAGTAAAATACATTATTGTATTGATGGGTGAGAATTAGTTGCATAACTACATTTCGAATTGATGGACACCTACATTACATACCTATCTATCATTTATAGTGATCAATCTTTTCGAACTTCTCAAAGTCAACTACATCAATGTTTTACCTATTCTTCTGTCTTCATTTTTGCATTCATTTATCTTAGACTCTACTCCTTCAAGCAAATTAAGGTTCTTTTCAGATACTACTCAGTCACTTGCATTCCGAAACATGAAAATCTGTGGTGTTTTCTACCGTGGTTATAAATAAAATGCAAATACATTACCTTCATCTCCATAACTAGATCTTGTAAGGAAATAAAGTTATGTTTTGTCGAGTTACCCTATGTATATAGATACATCCATCATGTGCAAAGCTCCCCAATTTCAACAAAAAGTTGGGAGTTTGTATCTTGTACTGCGAAATTACTAATATCTACACATTCATGATTTTGTTTGTAAAACTTAGATAAATTACTGTTGAATGAATTAAATGTTTAGCCAATCTAGTTTTTTTTAGTTCACTTGATAAAAATTTTCTAACCAATGTTTAAACAGCCNGAAGTATTAGTGTAAGGTCATCTAAGTCTGGACTTTAGGTCCCATTTTTTTAGTTAGGCCCCATTATTTATAATTATAACTACTAACCAAATGGAAATTTTAATTTTATAAAAACTTATGCCCAAAAAAATAATTACTCTCAATAAATTAGAAGATGATAATATGATACAACAAAAGGATAATAACGAAAATATGTACAATTGAAATATTAAGTTGTATAGAACGATTAGATTCTTTTCTAACTGCATGCTTACTTACAAAATATTATTGACAATTCTTGTAATTGTTTTTTCTACAAAAAGAAGTTTTTCAAAATTAAATTTGATAAAATATTATCTAAGATCAACTATTTCACAAGAGAAATTAAGTGAATTAGCAATATTATCAATTGAAAAAGATATGACAGCAAAACTTGAATATAAAAATTTAATTAATAATTTTACATCTCAAAAAGCGGGAAGAATAAATTTTAAATAAAATATAATTATTACATTCTCTTTCCAAGCATTCACTGTTATTTATATAGTGGACTTATTTTGCTCATGAGCTAATTGAGCGAGAAGAATTACTCGAGAGTCAAGACGAGTATGATAAGGTCAGGGTAAACATGCATGCATGAGAGAAAACTTAAGGATTCTAAAGTGGAGAATGCCTTTTTTAAGAAGAAGGTTATTGAGGTAGAGACTTGAGCTGACGAGCTTCAAGAAGAACTTACTAAGGCTAAGAAAGAGAATGCTTAGATAGAGGACTAGATATAGCCTCACATTTGAACAGTTATGATTTTNACTTACTAAGGCTAAGAAAGAGAATGCTTAGATAGAGGACTAGATATAGCCTCACGTTTGAACAATTATGATTTTAAAACTTCACACCGATTTAAATAAGTAAGATTGCAAGTGTTTGAATTTTAAGTGCAATCGAATTTTGGCACGACTGCAATCCAAAAATATGTCAAACAATACCCAATAATTTAAAAATAAACTTACTAATTGGATAAGAGGAAAAGTAGGATGATTTCCACATATGTTGGTAATTGCTTTACCGTGTACACAACCCAAGCTATTTGTGAATTGTTTCCAAAAAATAAAACATTGCAGAAACATGGATATCATGACCGTGAAGAGCTAAAAAAGATCATGGCAATAAAGTACAAAACTAAAGCATGCCACCAAACAGAAGTTGATGGGTTTAACATCCCTGTTGGTCTTGAACAACCTCTAATTCCAAATTTAGAGGCACAATTCCTTCAAATTGATGAAAAGAATGCACCATTTTACACATATGAGTTTGATTAAGGCTGACAACGACTGTAATGTGTTTCGAGTTGATTTCAAGTTAAAAGCCAAAACATCCCAACATTGCCTGTTTAATAAGTATGTCATTCTACTAATTTGGGATATGTCACCTACTAAGTGGGATATGTCACCCACTTGCCCTTTTTCTCCTAATTTGGGATATGTCACCCACTTGTCATCCCAACCAAATTCTTTTGAAAATTGTAACCCACTTGCCCTTTTTTTTTTTTCACTCATTTCCT